AAAAATGGCAGTTGCTGGTGTCTACTGACAGTTGCGTGGTTGGGTCCATATCTTCCTCAAGCTCAATGTTCTTTTGTTTTGAGATGCCGAAATATTTAAAAGGAAAAGCGATGTTTGAACCGTCAGCAGTGGCCAGACATCCATAGCAAAATCTTGTTTGGTACTGGTATCTTTCTATACTTGTGAAAGATAATTTGGTAGCGGCTTACATTTAAACATATTATTTCCTGTGCCAGCAGGAAATAATATGTTAAAATGTAGCCGCTCCAATATATACATTATCACAAATATAGAAAGAATACCAGTAACAAACAAGAAATATATATAATAGAACTATGGATGTGCTGGCCACTTGCTGACGGTCAAACATCGGACATATAAACTTTTAAAATATTTCGGCATCTCAAAACAAAAGAACAATGAGCTTGAGGAAGATATGGACCAACCACGCAACTGTCAGTAGAACAGCAACTTGGCATTTTTGGAGTTATTCATTATTTCCTTTACTACTTTGTGGAAAATTCAGGAATGTGTATTTCTATGAGCAAACGAGGGCAAATGCCCCAGACCCCAGATGAACCAGGCCCAAAAGGCCCGGCATATAATATCAATAAAGTGCGGTGCTTTATCTTCTGTCTTGCAAAGCGTCCTGTATCAAACTCTACTTTTGAAGACCTTTATGCTCACATCCTGGCCTGAAAATGACAGAAAACTACTTACAGGCAAAAGCAGTACCGAGTTGGTTGTTTGGGGTCTTTGTGTGTAATTTGAGCAACTTCGAGGTGAAAAAAAATGGGTACGTAAAACAAAGCATGTTGGCAACCATTTTAAAAGTTAAATTACATTTTTAAAAGGATGCTATGGAGCAAAATTACATTTAACTAAAATCTTCTTTTTCTAATTTTTTGTTCCAGATGTTCTGCTTACTAGTGGGGTGTGTGCCTCTCACCTCCATGAGTCAGGAATCACAAGGAGCCTTTTTACTAAAACCTGCTTTACCTTGCACCGGCACACCCTCAAAGGAATACTAAAAAAATTTTCCAAAAATCTTACAGTCAACTGAGGGCAAAAAAGAACTATATAAATTTAAATAAATACTTATTTAAATGGTTTGCACCAGATAGCATATATAGTATAAGCATACACCAATTCACACTACGAAGATATGCAAAGCAAAAAATTAAAACCACAAAGACCCAAAAACACCAAACTCGCTACTGCATTTTGCTGAAGGTAGTTTTTCTGTCATTTTCAGGGCAAAGAGTGTGAGCAAATAAAGGTCTCAAAAGTAGCATTTTGATACAGGACGCGTTTGCAAG